AAAGAAGATCAAAACTATGAACAAAATGACTTAAAATACATATCCATCAACAATCAAATCTAAAAAACAGACTAAGCAAACAAGAAGAACAGAAACAGAATCATGGATATGCAGAGCATTTTGATGGTTGCCAGATGGGTGGGGGTGTGGGGAAATGCGTGAAGAGGTGAGGGGATTAATAAACACAAATAGGTAGTTACAAAATATCCATGGGAATGTAAAGTCCAGTCTAGGAAATGGAGTAGCCAAAGAACTTACTCCCATGACCTGTGGACCTGAACAATAGTGTGGGGATTGCCTGAGGAAGCAGGTGATGCTGGGTAGAGGATGACAAAGGGGGAATACTTGGAACAACCATAATAGCATAATTGATAAAATATAATTAAAAAAAGAAACACAAACACATAATATGCCTGAAAATATAAAAGATATAAGACACCCGCACTTCAGAAGTTAGGAGAAAAAATGGGGGAGGCTGGCATGCTGGTGAGCTTGAAACACAAAAAGCCCTGATACAAGGGAGAGTATACCAGTGCCAAATGAAGAGTGAAATGAGTGAAGCATACACACAGATGTAGGGAGGAAATCTGATTTCTATCTAGTAATCGGGAAAGCATTTATTTATGGAAGTCGTCAATTCAAAGCTAGACTTTAAGTGGAAATAGAATTGGTGCGTGACAAGTGGAGGCAGTATGAGGTAAACTGTTACACTCTGGAAAGCACATTACATCCAAGTATTTGGCTGTTGTGCTGTTTCATGCACGTGGTTTCTGTAGCATTGTTTTCTGAGAGCCTCCCAAAGCATCCATGTCATAATGTCTCTGCTCTTCTGCTTTAACCTCTCCAGTCAGAGACTTTTGGTTGGGCTGGTCCTCCACTTGACATGATAAGGCACAAGCCAACCTGCTTTTAAAAAGGGACCTGAAGCCCTAACCAGTGTGACTCCCACTGTGACACTCCCAGTGTGACTTTGTGGGGCATCGTTCCACAAAGCCAAAAGTCCCCAGTATGATTCCTGGTGAGAGCACATGCCGGGGTTGCGGGTTCAGTCCTTGCTTGGGGCACGTACCAGAGGCAATAGATCAACATTTCTCTCTCACATCTATGTTTTTCCCTTCTCTCTCTCCCTTCCCCTCTCTCTAAAAATAAATAAATAAAATCTTTAAAAAAGAGACCTAAAAATACATGGGACTCAAATGAGAGATATGTTTGCTTTTCTAATAGGTAGGCAGTTGAGGGCAAGTAAGACGACAGTAAGGTCATCCAGGGATCTGGGGCCCTTCTATCTAGTTGTTCCCCCCTCACCTAGAGGGCTGTATGCCCCTGCAGGGTCCAGCTTGCTCACTTCTTCCACACATGTATTCCAGCCCATGGGTGGGAGAAAAGGGTGCAAGGGAGAAATCAGGTTCCTAATTAAGGACGAAAACTAAAAGTTGCACTTCCGTACTGTGGAGGATATCCAGGACTTGGTCACATGCTGGCTGCAAAGAAGGCTGAAGAATGTAGCACGTAGGATTGGTCCAACACACCGGAGCTGGAATATTAGTTACGCCTCAGAAAGTAAGGCTGGACCTAACAGGATTTCATGTGTCTTTCAACATAATCCATCCCCAATCTAATTTGTTAATGTAGTATCTCCCAAATTGTACTGTGAGGCTACTTTTCTGGGTGAAGTTACTGGGAATGCTTTAGAATAAAAAAGGTCTGTGATCAGCCTCTTTCTTACTCCTAGATTGTGCCAATGCCCATGAGTTCCTGGAAGTCTGTAGTAAAGAAATGCATTTAATTTGGTGTGGCTTAGTGCAGAATTATTCAAATTAATAAGAACAAGAGATTTTGTTTTATCTAGAAATAATTCTTTACAGGATAATAGTTTGTGACAGAATTTAACTCAATAAACATAAGTCCTATAAGATTTTAAGACACTGTGTTTCAAAAATTCTAATCCAAGTCAGGCCAAAGAGTGCCCTTCACAGGGAATACTTCCTGCAGCCTGATCAGACTGATCAGAGTTCTTACTAGACCCCCAAATCTGATTTGGGCTCCACTTGGTGTGCTTATGCCCAGTCTTCCCACTGAAATATGTCTGCTAAACCTTTACCCCTTAGCCTTTCAGAGCTTGGTTGAAATATCACCTCTTCTCAACTCTTCAGTGTAAAATAATGTTCTTTCCCTGAATCATTTTAGTGTTTATTGTCTCTGATATTTATTTGATCCTCATGAGTCAGCTGGAAATAAGCTTTCAGTCTTATCATGAGCCACCACAATTCCTCCACTGGAATCTCAGGCTTAGATAAAAGGCAAAACCCCAGCTCCAAGCCCAGAAAAGCAGCAAAACCAGACAAAAGATACCATGGCTGGCACCAGGACCAGCTTCCCTGACTAATGACCCCCTGCCCCGGCACCGACCAATCAGTAGAGAACACAACCCAGAAAGGACACAACTGGAAAGCTAATGAATACTCTATTAGGATCCTCCCCTGAGACCTCCAAATAAATACCCTCAAAATGAAGGACCCAGTCAGGCTCTCTTCGGAGCACGCCCCTATTTTCTCCCCTCCCCCAGGTACATTTTCCTCACCTCTCCCTTTCCTAAACTCCAAGAGCCCTTCTTTTGCCTCTTTAACTTGTTTCCTAAGCCTGTTTCTTCTATGACTGACTCACTTCTCTGTGACTTTCTAAATAGACTTCCTCTTATTAAAAAAAAAAAAGGCAAAACCCACCCTTGGGGAAAGAAAACTGTTGGCAATTAAAATGTCACAGGCTAGGACTTAGCTATGAAGAACCCGAAGCATGAAACGTGGCATCCACATGGGAAAGCAGAGTACCCTAATCAGGATGGGGAAAGAGAAGCCAAACTTCCCATCAAACCATGTTTAGGAATCAAGCCAGAACCAGCTCCTGGAGTTGGTGAGGGTGGCAGCAGGACACATAATGGCAAAGGCTCAGGTGACAGCTGGACCCTCCATTACCATCCTGCTTATCCATTTTGCCCCCAAAACCTGAAATATTGGCACAATGGCCACAGGCACTGATGAGCCTTACAGATTTTTAAGAAGTCCCTATTCACATTCAAAAGCCTCAGATTTTAGGCTGTAAAACAAATAAATGGCAAACTCTATATGGGATTACCTATCCAGTATCTGAACATTCAACCATATTCAACAAATTTTGTTGTACACCCTCCTTAAGGGCTGCCCTTGACCCATTCCCAAGCACTGGGGCCCCAACAGGTGATCATTTCACTGACGGCCACTCCATCCTCCAAAGGAGAGTACGCTCTGCTTCTGGATAGTAATGGAGGCATTATTACAGGAAAAGACCTGCTGTTTCCTAATCAAAATTTATAATCATTTTGGGGCGGGGTGGGGTGGGGCAGTATTTTACAAAAGGTTAACTTTATATTTTGCCCAGAAATTGCATCTTACAAATAAGTATTTTTATAATTGATTTTGAAAATGTTCTGAATTATTTAAGTTTTAATGATTAAGCTTTTAGTACTAACAGATAATTTTTGGCAATCACAAAACAACACTGCACGAATGTAGAACCAGTCTGATCTAATGCTCTGAGAGCCCCATTTAGAGAGCCCTTGTCTGTGGAGAGAAGTGTCACCCGCCTTCCCATGCAATCATCCTGAATCAACACCGCATTTCAGAACAGGCCAGAAGGTGCCCATCCAACATCCTGTCCTTACAGAATCTGTTTCATTACATTATGTTAATTGTGCTTCCAAAAATCCTGAGGTAGAAATACAGCAATTAACCAAAATATGATTTAAGATTACTGCTTTCTTTTCATGAAAAATACAGTATGCATACAGGTGATTTTGGTTAACTTTTTAAAAATCTCCAATTATTCAAGGCTTATATCATAAAAAGTAGATTAAAAGGCTTTAGGTGATCCCCTGGCTAGATTAAGTGGAAAAGAGGAAACTGAGAAGGTAAGACCTGAAGAGAACACACCACTGAGGAAGTCCATATAATATTGGAGTCTTCATGATCCATTCATTCATCCCTCTACCCAACAAGCTTTTCTTGTGCAGGGGCTGTGGCAGGGCACAGGCCATCAGAGAAGGGGAGAAATAGGGCTGGGAGACTCGGGGGTGGGGGATCACAGTGGCACAGCTAACTATGATGCATGGTAAAATGAGGTGAGCACTGAAGTGCTGTGGGAGTGAAAAAGAACGTGCAACTCCTGCTGGCCTCAACCTACAGAGACCGCATCAAAACTGGGGTAGGGCGGGGTGAGGCTGAGTGGGCACTGGAACTCAGCCTCGGAGCAAGAATAGAATTCAAGAGGGTGACCCAAGGGAGACAACGCCGCCTGGGAACACCATAAACACTAAGCGGAAGGGGTGAAAATACATGACCAGCTGCGGGAGGAGGTACCAGTCCAGCAGGGCTGACTGTTTGGGATACAGAAGGCATGGGACAGAGGGTGCGCCTGGAGGGCTGAGGCCAGGACAGGATTTCTGAATGGATTGCAGCGCGTTCAGCTTGGCTTCACTAATAGCAAAGCTGTAACGGGGTTGCGCAAGGTCATAAGAAGCCATGCCTTCTCCTGAAAAGCAAAAATTGCTTTATTATACATTATCTGAAACACTGTGAAAGCAGACTTACAGAAAGAAGTTATCAGACTATAAAATGTTACAAGTATATCTTCCAGCAAGGCTTAAGTCAGCCAATGCCATGTTGATCTGTTTGTGAAACGTTTTCTAAAAGTAATTTTTTTCCAGGTTTATGGTCACATTACTGTCAGTCTCTCTAATAAAAATGCATGCTTCGATTCTAGCTGCATTACCGGCAGAAAAAAGCAGTTATTTATCAACACCTTTCAAAATCCCCTCTGTGTATCCTACACAGACTAAGAGGAAAATGCTATACCAAAGACAAACAAAATGTTTAGCAAAAAAGACAGCCAAACGTGAACATGAACACACAAACATACACACACAAAGAATCAGGAGAACAACAGGGATTTGTCAAACAGAACGATACCTTCTTCCTTCCTCCAGACACATTCACGGCATTCATTATTCACTGTTGCGCCTACGAGGTTGAAAATAAGCTAATTCATTTTTAGGTCCCAGAACTGTGACGTGAGTAATGCATTCATTATAAAAATATTCCTACCACATCTTTCAACAATAGCTGAGAATTCTCAGTGGAGTTGAATATAATAGGATCACCACCTCTGTCTATGGCAGTTGTACAAACCAAATCATCTACTCAATCTTAATATCTTAAAACTCATACTGTGGGCTGATCCTTGTCAATGTTGAAGACTTCTCTTCCTAAAATTTGACACAATATGCTTTGCACACCTGTCAGTTTCTTGATATGAGATTTAATGTTTCACCTCACTCTTTGTTTCTGCTCACAGGCTACAGATATTTCAACTGTGGTTCCATCTCTTGCCTTTCTTTTCACTGTTCCCTATTTCTTGCCCTCAAACCTATTCAGAGAAATTCTCTTCAGTGGATGGATTTATAGTGCAGATTTCATACATCATCTCTCAGCAATATTCTAAATCCCAGACAAAAATCTAATTATCTATCCCCAAAAGAGCTGTCAAACAAAAGCTTAGACCTGTAACTAAGGTAAAAAATTATTTAAAATCAAATAACACCATTTTTGAGTTAACAAAATACTCTGGAAACTCTCAGAATAAAGAGATTTATAGGCCTTGGCAGTTGTCCCAAACTGTATTTTAACTCAGGTGGGGACGTAGAAACAGGAAGACTTAGGGCAGGTGAGGGTAGTAAGAAGGGGAAAAGGAGGGTGAGAGGGGAGTGAACAACTTCGGCACCATCACATTTCCTTCAGAGAGCCAGCATCAAAATTAAATTCTTACAGCAAGTCGATCCAGTGCCATCAATACTCGGCACTTTCTATGGGCAAAACACCAAGGAAACTACTTGAGCAAGAAAGAGACTGGCTTTCCACACTTTGACCCGCAACTACTTAGAATATGTTTGCTCAAACACCAAAGAACTGATTTTTAAAATGTCTTAAAATCTTCTTCATGTATCACTTTTTCCCATTAAAACGCAATTACAGAAAAATGGACGATGACACAAATGGAGGGAAAAATGAGGGCAGAGTAGGTGAAACCAGGAGTACGGCAAACACATTAAATGCATATCATAAGGTCTCTCACAATTTTTAGAAGGTGCGTCTAAGATTTGACCCCTGACTTCCTGGCAGCACGTGCAGAGAGAGAACACCACTGCCTTCACTGTCTGGACAAGAAAGCCCACGTCCGCTCAGGAGAAACTCAGCAATTCTGATACTAGACAGCAATTTGTCCCACAAGTCCTTTTTTAAAGGGCACCTTTTAACTGTCCCGTTTCACAGGGATGTTTCTTAGAAGGGATGATGATGTGGAAAATTCAGTGAAAACATTTGGGTGGGGTCCAATACTACACAGTCGAAAGACATGGCTCAGAGAACAGAGAGCTGGCATGTTTGGAAGCCCAGGAAAATTAATACTATGGTAAATTAAACAGGGTCAAGAAAGAAGACAGTTCTAGAATATGTCTTGTATAAATGCTGTTTTACTCTACATTGGTATGCAACCTGTAGGTTAGCTCAAAGTGCCCGTTATGTCATGGTTTTAGGGTTCTGATGCTAGACACTCTCAGGTCAGCAACATTTCACCGACGGAAACACTGATAATAACAGCAGGAGTATTAGAGAGAAACTTAATCTACTATATTATGACCTGCTCACCCAATCAAATAAATTCTGATTTCTTTTAAAAGGAAAAAGTTATTACAACCACTAGGTAAAACTGCCACTCTACTGACCATCTAAGATCATAACAGGATTTTTCAGCCATTAAGAGAACCAACCTGACATGGACAATACTGTATTCGACAGCATACTTATATCCCCTGGTAAAATAACAAAACAGCAATTTTATACATAGAAAAGGCTTTTGAGACCAATTAGACAAGTGCCTTTCTTTTCTTTTTTTAAATCATTTTTTACTGTTTGATTACAGTTGACTTAAACAATATTGTATCAGTTCATTAGACATTAGACATTACATTACATATGAAGTGGTCATCCCAATAAATCTGGAGCCCATCTGACACCATACATAGTTATTAGAATATTACTCACTACATTCCCTGTGCTGTAGTTTATACCCCATGACTATTCTGTAACTACCAATTTGTACTTCTTAATCCCTTCTCCTCTTCACCCACCCCCCCAAACCCTTCCCATCTGGCAACCATCAAAATTTTCTCTGTATCTATGAGTCTATTTCTGTTCTGTTTGTTCATTCATTTTGTTTTTAGATTCAACTGTTGATAGATATATATTTATTGCCATTTTTATTGTCCATATTTTAGATCTTTTTTCCTTTTCTTCTTCTTAAAGAAGACCCTTTAACATTTCGCATAACACTGGTTTGGTGGTGATGAACTCCTTTAACTTTTTCTTGTCTGGGAAGCTCTAAGTCTAAATGACAGCTTTGCTGTATAGAGTAATCTTGGTTGTAGGTCCTTGCTTTTCATCTCATTGAATATTTCATGCAGGGCTTGGCAGTGCCCAAGTGAGGCCAAGCTGAGAACCAATGCCAGCTGCTGCTAGTATCAGGCCTAGAGCCACTTAAGGAGAAGTATGGGCATGCGGATGCCAGATGCTGCTTGTTTGAGAAATTTTAGGGAACAGGTGGCAAACACAAGGCCTGTGGGCCAAATCCGGCCCTCCACCTTGTTTTACCCACTCCATACCTTGTTTCTACCCAGCGGCAGCGCCGAGCTCCTTGCTCCTAGTTAAGGAGTAGTCACATTTCTACAATTCTAAAATTACATTCAGCCCTTTGAAGGCAACCGGGAGGCTGATGGGGCCCCTGGTAAGAATGAGTTTGACACCCCTGTTTAAGGGAAGTACTAAGCATGAGCCAAGACAAGCCATTTGTATGGAAAAAATACTTGAAACATCTTGGGTAGACTTATAACTTGGTGGAGTGGGGTGTCAGGGAATCACCAGCTCAGAGCAAACAGTCATAGCCAGGTTGGTGGAGACTCAGACATGGTGCCCACCTGCCAGCTCTGTGGGGCAAGGTCTCAGACAAGAACAATGGCCTCTGCCAGCACTCCTGTCTGGGGGAAAGCTGCCCCTCCAGACTCTCACCCTGATGACAGACACTTTATTTCTTCCCCGTGTGTCCCATGCTTTTTTGAGCTTTTACCCTAGTACTGATGCTCAGAGAGAGGGACTCTGAGTAAGTCTGTGCATGGGCCCTTTAAGATAAGCTGCCTGGGACTCTAGCCCGCCATCTCACTCAGCCACAATCCCTGCTGATTTTTATGGCCTGAAGTTATGGGGACTTCTCTTCCCGGCACTGGAACCCTGGGCTGGGAGCCTGTTGTGAGGCTGGAACCCCTCCTTTCCCAAGGGGGGCCTCCAGAGCCGAGCTCTCCCTCCCAATTTTTATTTACCACGCATGGGTGTGGGACCAGCCATTCTGCATCTCTGCTCCTCTTGCCAGTCTTAATGTGGCTTCTCCTTTATACCCTTAGAGTTATAGGCCTCTGTTCAGCTAGATTTTGGGGAGTTCTGAATGACAGTTGATCTGTAGTTTAGTCGTAATTTTGAGCAGGTCACTTTGTTTGCAAATCAGGCCCAAACAGACTGAATGACTTGGCTATGTTCACAGAGCTAAGCGGTGGCAGGGCCAGTCTGAAACTCGGTGTCCCAATTACATAACGCCCACTAACTGAGATGCTCATTTCTCTTCTGTGATGTAAACATATTTAGTTCATATAGCTATTAAATCAACTAATGTTAGCTTCAGGTTTTCTACCTTAAGTCTCATAGGTACTTCATTCAACAAATACTTATCTACCAAGATACCAAATGGTTTCCTAGCTTAGTTTGCCGCACAATAGCACTGATACTGTTAAACTTCAATAAACGGTAAAAACTAAAACAAAACAAAAAAACCTAGTACTCATACCTAAGTGTTAAGAGGACGGTAATGTTTAATATTTAATAGACAAGCCTGTCTAGAATTACTTTGAGACCACAGCATCAAATGCCTTTTCTATAGTGTAAATACAATCACCAATATATGACTAATCACTCCCCTCAGGAGAGAGAATACAATATGCCAGTTACAAGCACTAGACAGAATGGTAGGGAAGTATCACACAAGAGTGACGTGTCTATGCAATTCAAAAGATGAAAACAATTTGTGAATTAACATTTGGTGGTGGGACCTAAAGCAAAACATGTTTTGTTTCTAGAAGTTTAAAAAGGTATACTTAATACTTAAACTTCTCTGCAAAGTACACTTGATTGTTTTAAGTTTTTTTTTTAAGATTTTATTTATTTATTTTTAGGGAGGGAGGGAGTGGGAGAGAGAGAGAGAGAAACATCAATGTGGGGTTGCTGGGGGTTATGGCCTGCAACCCAGGAATGTACCCTGGCTGGGAATCGAACCTGGGACACTTTGGTTCCCAGCCTCTGCTCAATCCATTGAGCTACGCCAGCCAGGGCTGATTGTTTTAAGTTTTTAATATAGCTTATGTAGGGACTCAAATGCTATATGGGGTGCTTGAAATTACATCAGGGAGTTTCTCAAACTAAACAGCAAAAAAACTAAAATTAAGAAAGGTGCAGTCAGGACAGGGCTTTCTTTGGGAGAGCATTCACAGGGGTCATAACCACTTAGAGCTGAGCCCTGGAGGATGGGAAGACCAGCAGAAGCCACAGATTACCTTGACAACCGTGCTGACAGGCACAGGTGCTGTCACCAAATCGTGACCATGGACACTAGGCCAGCCTTGGTCAAATGTAACACAACATGTTCCTGCTCTCTTGTGCTCCAGATGCAATGTGCTCTTTAAAATGCAATTTTGCTACACTAACAAATCAATTTCAAACTCTTCCCCCCACAAAAACACTGGTGTACCTACCATACGAAGGGTGAAAACTATATTTTTCAAAGTTACTAAATTCCTATAAGGCACACTCATAATTTCAGAAAAGGCCAAATATAATCGGGAATACTGACTTGAGATACTATTAATGACAACTCATTGCAAGCTGTCAGGTTGCAAACATCACTGGTCTTTTCCCCACTGTTGAGTGTGCTATGGCACTACCCTAGATGCTGCATCAGGAGGGAAATGGGGTGAGGGGGAAGGGCTTAGACTGGTCATTTGAGAGAGGGCAGTTTTGGGTTCCATAAATATTCTACTCAAAATCTTAGGTGTAATAAAAAACCAAATCGTTCATTTATGTTTAAATAGTGTATGGTGAAGGGTATTCCTTGTATTGTTGTTTTACTGTTTGGTATGTCTTTGACTGTAGAGTACTACACTTATAAAAGTACAATTTGCAAAGTGGAAAAGCATATCTCTCCAATTACCCTATTAAATCTACCATTTTACATTTTAAGAAGCTGCACCCGTTTTCCTAGGTATTAGTTACATAATACTCTTCTCTTCCTCATTCTCTTTCAAACATAGGAAGGCATTTTTAAAATGCAATGAAATATTTCCTTGCATCAATCCAGTCTCTGAAGCCCTGGGATAGTTGCAGAGAAAACATAAACAGGAAGTGAAAGTGAAAAGACTATGGCATTGCTTTCTGCTTTTCTTTCAAATTGCAAGCTAAGAGATAAAAAATATTTTTCTCTTTGACAACTGAAACTAATTAGCGGGTGGGGATGGGAGTTATAAACTACAACTCAAAAACTACGCTCTTCAGAACCACACACGTGGAAGGCTCTTTTTGAAAGGCTATCTTTACGTAGTGGGCTGAGGTCAAGCTCCTTCTCACAGCCCCAGTGACACGCAGCACTGTCCCCTGCTTCCTGTGTCTTTTTCAGTGCGCATTCACTCTCCTCCCTCCTCCAAGCAATGGTCCACGCAGTCCACGGGGCCATTGTGTCAGGCCAACTGTTACTCACAGCACACGCTCATGATTCACCCCACTCGGCTCCCGGAGCAAAAAACGCTAGTTATTCTTCCCTCTTCCAGGGAGGGGAGGGCCTTGCGGTTCTCAGGATGGAAACGTCACTCCGACCACAGTCCACACTCGAGCAGTCAGTCCTCTAGGCTTCATCGTTAGCCCCCTCGGGCATTGACCACCCAGCCACGGCACAGCGGGCTCTGAAACTTAACTCCGGATCAGGGTCCGGACACGGAGAAACCCCTCCCGGGGTATTTTGCTTTTCCAAGGCCGGACGCCCCAGGGTCCCCGCACCCCAACCAGGCCGAGGTGATGACCCACGCGCCTCCTGACCCCTGGCCTTTCATGACTTCGGCCCCGGGCGCGACCCCGGCCTTCATCGCTGCCCCACTGTCGGGTCCCCCAGCGCGCGAAAACCAAGTGAACTTCCCGGCCACTCGGCTTCCATTCCACAGAAGTGGCCCCCCAAACTTTTCCAGCCGCCGCCCCTGCCCCCGAGACCCCGGCATCGGGGCCGGCTGTCTTACCTGGGGCATCAGCGGCCGCGGCCCCGATCCGCCCGAGGTGCTGAGAGTCGGCGGCCGCCGCGGGCGCCAGGACCAGGAGCCCCTCAGGAGCATCATCCTCCCTCCAGGTCCGCGGGCCTTTTCGGCGTGGGGGCTGCAGCGAGCTCGCCTCGGGCGCCCCGCCTCGTCCCGAGTCGCCCGCCTCCCCCTTCCCCGCCCCGAGCTGGCTGGGCGGGCGGGAGGAGGGTGTGCCGCTCTTCCACTTCTCCTCTGTGCACACGCCCCAGCGCGAGACTGTTTTCTCTCCTCCGACCAAAGTGGGGAGGGGGAAGAGGAAGAGCGCGAGGACTGAGCGCCTGACGCACAGCAGGTTAGGTTTCGAGGGCGGCGCGCCGCGGGGCAGCTTCCCCTCCTCCCGCGGAAGCCCCCGCGGAGGCAGTGACAGCCCGCCGCCTGCCCCTGGCGAGCGGGAGAGCTCGAGGTCGGAGCCCGCTGGTAACTTTGTGCTCTGAGAGCGGCCCTTCTGCTCTGGCCACTTATCTCAGTTGGTTAGAGCGTCCTCCGTCGGGATACGCCGAGGTTGCGTGTTGATCCCCGGTCAGGGCATATGCGGGAGTCAACCAGGGAACCCCTGAATGGGCGGAACAACAAATCGAGGTTTCTCTCTGCCTCTGTCTCTGGCTGTCTCTGTCTCTCTCTCAAATCAATAACTACTGGGGGGAAAAAAAGAAATTTTAAGAGCGATAAAGGGGCGGGGCACGTCAGAGGGCTGTCTGGGGGTTGGGCCCCCGGGTCCCTGGCTGACCTCTGCTACAAGTGACCGCCGGGGGGCGATCGGACAGTAAGCCCGAGGCCCATCTCTAGGAGGCCCATCTCTAGGAGGTCCATCTCTGCCTGGCCTGAGGAGTCCTACTCGCCACATGGTGGCCCACCCCTAGCTCTTTGGGACCGTCCCACAACCTAACTGGCTTCTCTTTTAAACCATGCTTTTAATTGTTAAAGAACTGGAACTTAGTCTTCCCAACACCTGGGGAGTATAATTCTCTGTTTTAGAGACTTTTTTTTTTTAAGATTCTCACCTGAGGAGATGTTTCTATTGATTTTAGAGAGAGAGGAAGAGGGAAGAGAGAGAGAGAGGAAGAGAGGAACATCCACGTGAGAGAGTAACCTCGGTGATGCATGGAAACTGAAACCCAGGTATGTGCCCTGACTGAAATGGAACCCAGGACCTTTTGGGATACGGAAGGAAGCTCCAACCAATGGAACCACTTGGTCAGGACTCTTGGAGACTTTTTGTTTATAAAAACAAATAAACATCAACCATTTAAGAGCAACCTAATCTAAGCCATCACATAGTTTACTTACAGTAAATTGTTACATAAAACACACGAGGCCCAGTTATATTTGAATTTCAGATCAACAGCTAATAACTTTTTTTTAGTGTACGTATATCCCAAATATTGAATGGGTCACACTTACTCTTTTTGAAACAAAATATGAAATATTTGGGATATACTTATACTAAATTATTTGTTGTTTATCTGTAATTCAAAGCTGACAAACACTGCAACAAGTAGCAAATCTCTCCTGATGATGATCTCTTTTCTTTATAGAAAAAAGATGGTGGTTTCTGTGACAGCAAAAACTTTCAACTCAAAGACAGAGTCACTTGTGTTAACTAGCATTTGCATTTCAAAATACAATTGCCCTGGGCAGATAGTGACACAGTAAACATTAAGTCCACATGGGAAGGTAGTTTACCTGAGTACTTCCCTTCTATTTTAGCTAGTGCTCCAAATGAAAGAAATGAGTTGCATGTTGACTATCGTGAATAATTCTGAAATGAACAGTGGGAGCACAGATAAATTTGTGAGATACTGATTTCATTTCCTTTGGATATATACCCAGTGAGATTGCTGGATCTATGGTAGATCTATTTTTAATTTTTTGAAGAACTGACATAGTGTTTTTTTATGTAGTTGCTGCAATTTACATTCCCACCAACAGTGTATAGGGTTCCCTTTTCTCTAATAGCTAAGATATGGAAACAACCTACGTGTCCATCAAGAAAAATGGATAAAGATGTGAGATAGCTCGCTCATACTCTCTTTCTCATTCTCTCTTACCCTCTCTCACCCCATGCCTACACCACGCCTTCTTCCCTCCTTTCTTCCCCCCTTCCCTACCTCAGGCACATACCTTTTCTTCCTCTCTCCTAAGCTCCAAGGGCCCTTCTCCTACTTCTATAACTTGTTTTCTGAGTTCACGCAGCCCAACTGGCTCACTTCCTCTACCTCCGCAAAGATAAAAAAAAAAAGAAAATGTGATATATAACCATATATCCACTATATGTTATATATTCTCTATTATCATAGTATATGCTTTTACATACCATACATATATACCATGGAATATTATTCAGCCATAAAAAGAAGGAAATCTTGCCCTGGCTGGTGTGGCTCTGTGGATTGAGTGCCAGCCTTTGAACTAAAGGGTTGCATGTTCTATTCCCAGTCAGAGCACATGCCTCAGTTTCCGGCCAGGTCTCTAGTAGGTATGTGTGAGAGGCAACTACACATTGATGTTTCTCTCCCTCTCTTTCTCCCTCCCTTCCTTGCTCTCCCTAAAAAGAAATAAATAAAATCTTTAAAAATAAAAACAGGGAAATCCTGCCATTTGTGATAGATAACATGTGTGAATCTGGAAGTCAGTATGCTAAGTGAAATAAATCAAACAGAGAAAGGCAAATACTATGATCTCACTTTTATGTAGAATCTAAATAAGTTAAACTCATAGAACCAGAGAATAGAGCAGTGGTTACCAGAGGCTAGGAGATGAGGAAAGTGGGGAAAGTTTGATCAAGAGATACAAATTTTCAGTTATAAGATGAATAAATTCTGGCGATCTGATGTACAGCACTGTGACTAAGTTAATAATACTGTAAAATATATTTAAAATGTGCTAACAGAGTATATATAAACTGTACTTACTACACCCCCCAAGAAATATATGTGAGGTGATAGAAGTGTTAATTAACTTAGTTGTGGTAATTATTCACTAGCTATCTATTTATCATATCAAGGTATCACATTGTACACTTAAAATATATACACTTTTTATTTGTCAAATATACTTCAATAGAGCTGGGGGTACAGAAAGAAAAGCATTTTATTAGAAAGGAAATGAAGAGGAGGAGAAAATGTCCATTTTGGAATACAGAATCTGCCCCTACACATCACTGTGATTTTTTTTGGGGGGGCTACATTCCCTTTAATTGCCTTTTCATAGGATAACAATTTTCTAATACTTTCTATAGAGGAAATAGAAAAGATAACTGTCTTTTCTGCAGCATGTTTATTTGTTTTATGTCATTGATAGTTTAGAAAAGTGTTTCTAAGCTTTATCACTCATTATTGGTAATGTTGTGTCATTCTGATGACTGTTCTTAAATTTGGGGAAACTTCCATCAAGTGTTTTTCATAGCTGAACAGTAATATTTGAAAGAATATTCCACAAACTAGTTTCAGGGTCCTTTAATTCAAATGTCATTTCTTTTAAAAGAATTTATTTTATTTTTTATTTTAGAGAAGAGGGAGGGAGGGAGGAAAGGAGAGAGACACACATCTGTGCGAGCGAGAAACATCGATTGGTTGCCTTCAGTACTCACCCCAGCCAGGGACCAAACCCACAACCCAAGCATGTGCCCTGACTGGGAATCAAGCTGGAAACCTTTCAGTTTGCAGGACAATGCCCAACCAAGTGAGCCACACTGGCCAGGGCGAATGGCATCACATTTTCACTAGCCACTTACTTCGGGTAACTTGGCATTGTATGTCACATTCATATTGCAGTACAATATCTGGCCCTGCACTTTTGGGTGACAGCACTTGGTAAGTTTGTCCAATAGGTGATAGGATTATTCTTGGAAGCTATTCCTACAGGAGCATGGCTACCAAAAATTTAATAATACATGAAAATGACAGTAAGCCTCATAAAATATGCCACTAAACCCAAACTAAATGTATCTCCAACTCAACTTTCTCTGCTGGATCTTGAAAATGGCCATGGCCACTCAGCCACCTGATACATGGGGTGGGTTTGGCAGAGGAGTGGTTGCACAAGAAAGAGACTGGGGTCTTAATTGATTTCAATTAAAATATTTTACTTTTAGAAATATTTTTAAAATATCACCAAGTGAATACAATCCTGGGAACACCCCCTCCAAGTGCCTTGGAAGAGGCTTGAGCAAGTGAAAAGCCCTGAAGCTTAAGCTAAATCACTTTGCTGACACATAATTCCTCAATAAATGCTATTATTATTACTCCAAACTGTTCCGTAACACTTAGTACCGGCCTATTTCATAGCATATATCACATTTTGTTTATTTGCACTTATGTCTGGCTCTCCAGCTAGATTATAAATGCATAGAAGCATAACAACATTCACACCAGAAGAGGACAAGAGAGAGCAAGGGATCAATAACATATTTGAAGAAATAATTACCAAAAACCTTCCCTAACCTGGTGAAGAAAAAGACACACAAGTCTGTGAAGTTCAGAGAGTCCCAACAAGATGGACCCAAAGAGGCCTGCACCAAAACGAATCATACTTTAAAATGGTAAGCTTAAAGAAAAGGAGAGAATCTTAGAAGCTACAAGAGAACTGCAGTTAGTTACCTAAAAGGAAGCTCCCATAAGACTGTCATCTTATTTCTCACCAGAAACATTACAGGCCATAAGGAATTGATACAAAATACTCAAGGTGATGAAAAGTCAGGACCTACAACCAAGACAACTTTACCCAACAAGTCCATCATTTAAAAGTGAAGGAGAAATAAAGAGCTTCCTAGACAAAAAAAAAAAAAAGGTAAAGAGTTTGTTACCACAAAACCAGTATCACAACAAATGTTACAGAGATTATTTTAAAAGAATATAAAGAGGAATATAGTTAAAAATAAAATGGAAATAAACATGTGTCTATCAATAGTCACTTTAAATGTAAATGGCTTAAATGCTCCAATCAAAAGAGATAGGGTAACAGAATGTGTAAGAAAACAAGACCCACATATACACTACCTCCAAGAGACCCACCTCAAAACCAAAGATTCACACTGACTAAAAGTAAACAAATGGAAAAAAGTATTTCGTGGAAATGGAAAGGAGAAAAAAGCTGGGGTAGCAATACTTATATCTGAAAAAATGGACTTTAAAACTAAGGCTAAAGTAAGAGACACTACATAATGATAAAAGGAATAATTCAATAAGAGCATATAATGCTTGTAAACATTTATGCACTTACCATAGGAAC